CACCCAGCTGGGAGGGTACCTCACCCCGGGGCCCCTCTGTCTGGGCACCCCCGCAGTGAGCTCTGTGGGACCTCCTTTGCCTCTACTGGGAGGGCAGAGGGTCTTGTTGCCCCCCAAAAGGGGCCAATGGGGGAGGATAGAGGCTGGGCAGGGGACAGCATGTGGGTGACTGGAGCAGTGGCTGGGGAGGAGGGGATGCTGCAGAGGGGAGAAGGCTGTGCAAGCCCCACATCCCACTCCCAGCCGAAAGCTCCAAGCCTTAAGGGGGCACAGATCTGCCTGGCTCTGAGTTTCACCCCACTTTGGCCTCTCCCACAGCTCGAACGGACACTGAGAAATGGGTGAGTGGTGCTAGCTGGCACCCCCCTGCCAGCCCTGCTCTCCGCATCCATCCCAGCTCCACGCAGCACGGCCACCTTGCACACCCCAGCAGGGCTGCGGGGACAGGACAGGGCTGAGCCCTTGGCTGCTCGGCACTGCACACGGCCATCCCAGAGACCCGGCCCTGGCGGGACACCCACTACAGCCCCAAGCCCACAGTGCCCAGCTGAGAAGCTGACACCACTGGGATAAGGACCTACAGGACATCCTCGCACATGGTGGGGACGGGAGCACCCCGAGATCCCCTTCCTGCTCCATTCCATCCCCTGCAGCTCTGCCCCTTGCACCCGGGGCTGGACTCAGCTGACTCATCCTCTGCCCTCTCCGCTCCGGGCTATTTGGCTGGTGCCCGCTGGAGCCAGCTAGAGGGGACAGACCCGGTGCTGCCTGCGGGCACATCCAGCCCCCAGAGCCTGGCACGCCGCTCCGCCAGGCCCACGCTTACCCTGGCACCTCTTCCCCTACTGACATGTTGTGGGCTGGCGTGGAGCCCTGAAGGGCCCACGGGGCTGCGAAGCGATGGGAAATGTCCATGGGGAGAGTTTCCCGGGGCCAGGCGACCCTCCATCGCAGAGCTTGGGTCTCTGCGGGCAGGGAGGTGGCATGGCAGCTGGGCACGGCTCACAGGGCGGATACTGCTCCCGTGTCCCAGCCCCCAGCGCTGTGCCAAGAGCACCCTCAGCGTGCCCCCACCATACACTGGCCCCCGGGACAGGCACAGGCTGGGGAGACTCAGTGCTCCCCCCAGGTGAGGAGGGGACAGAATCTGGGAGGATTTTTCCGGGCAGGCTGGGTCCTGGCGAAGGCGGTGCAAGTCCCAGCCCCGCTCCAAGGTGTGACGCTGCCACGTTGGCCCAACAAGGCCTTCCCCGCACTCCTGGCACGGCGCATCCCTCCCCAGCACCATTGTGGCCCAGGGTGGCAGCCCGGGGGGTCCCTGGTGGGGCCAGGCCATGGGGAGGACAACTTGGCCCAGGCACGGGGACGGCAGCAGGAGCTGGGCACCCAGGGTCCCAGCACACACAGGCACATGACGACCTCCCGGAGATGTGCCCATTGGGGTCAGGATGTGGCTCTGGGCTCACATCCAGAAGAGGGGGTCCTGGCCAGCTGGCTGGGCTGCACAAGGGCTGGCAGGGGGATGCGGGTCCTGCCACGCCTGTGACAGCGAACTGAGGAGCACAGAGCATGCAGCACTGTCCCCAGGACCAGGCAGCACCCCAGGATATGAGTACGGGTGGATGCAGGCACCAGGGTGTGTCCTTGCCCCAGCCCATGGGCACACCCAGGGCTTCTCCAGCCGGATGGATGGAGGGCGCAGCCCCATCCTCGGAGGCAGCAGATGCCTGGCATGAAAGGGATGGGTCAGCCCAGCTGCGATTCATCTCCACAAGAGTTTTCTCACCACACCACTTCCCCCCTCCCCCAGTAAAACATTTCCGTCACCCCAGGTCCACAGGGGACCTTCATGGGCTCTCACTGCCTCCCGTGAGCACCTTCAGCTTTGCCCCACACGGCGCCTGGTACAACTCCTCCGTCTGGGGCTGAATCGCTCAGCACCTAAACAGTATTTCCCCCCCTCCCCAAATAACCCCACAGAGTCCACCAGACAGCAACCCCCTCCCACAGAACAGTCCCCGTGCCCCCCCAGGGCAGCACCTACCTTGGGTGAGGGTCCCGGTGACAAACTGGTAGAAGAAGTGGATCACCCGGCCCAGCTGCCTCTTGCAGCGCTGCTGGCAGTGGCTCATGGCTCCAGCTCGCAGCGCTGGGCAAGGCACCCGGTCGCACCCCCTCCGGGCCGCCGAACAGCCCCCCAGCTCCT